TCAAAGAATTCTGTAAAGATTTTGTTACTATTTCCTTAAAAATATTAAGCAGCACAACTGTTTTCAACACTGATAATAAAAAGAACAATGTCTTGAGCAGCAAATCAGCATTTTAGAATGATTTCTGAAGGATCATGTGAAACTGAAGACTGGAGTAATGGCTGCTGAAAAATCAGCTTTTCAGCAGAAAAAAATATAATAAATATATTAAAATAGAAAACAGTTATTACACAAATAATAAGAAATACGTGATAAGTTTCACAGTATTACTGTATATTTGATCAAATAAATGTAGCCTTGGTGACCCTAAACTTCTGAATGATAGTGTCATGTTTTAAATGATGCAAATTCATTGTTGAATCTTGTTTTGAAATAATTAATGGAAATGAACTGAATACCACTTCACACATTTTTTTGCTACTAAAGTTAACTTGAAAGCAAAATTTACAAAATGCATGCAATACAAAATCAAAACAAAAATACTTTCTCCATTTCTGAAATGAAAAAGACACCTTTCATAATCTCATCGATTCCTGATTCATAAAACAAGTCCTCCCCATTTCTTTTTTTCATTGTCTGTCCTTTTTCACTCACATGCCCTAGAGCTCCAATATTTTAGGAACAAATCATGATGGCCAAATAAAACACCATTGCAATATTCACTAGGTCACCTAATTTCATATTGACAGAATAGTAATCTTAAACCTATTGGATTATTCGCTAAATCACAGAGTAATATTTGGAGCAAGGCATTTTTAATCTGGTGAGGCATATTCTCAGTGATTTGTATACACAGCAGGTGTTGGGCAGTTGCTCTCTTTCCATTTGGCGTGCTGTGGCAGGCATTTAGCTAATGTCAAGTGGATTCGCCTGAATGTTTAGACACTAATGGGAATGTAGATTGAAAAGCAAAGGCAAACTTAGATGTCCATATCAATTGGCTGCTTTTTAGTGACTATAAAACATGAAGACACTCACAGATGAGGCTGTTTTTTTTATATAAAACACACACAGCTTCCTCATTAGCCTATAGTGTGCCTGTGCTTTCCACATTCATGAGTGTGTGAGTGTGTTAACATCACAGGTCAGCAGTGTGTCAGAGTGTGTAAGGCAGTAAACGGAGACTCGCAGCAGATGGAGGCGTGTTTTGCACAGATGTCTTAGCGTCTGGCCTCAGAAATGTTGCCTTCAGCACTCTGGTCATGTGCCATCAGATCTTGGGGGTTCCTTCAAGAACTGAAAACGTTTAAGTTTTAATTAAGCAGAATAAAGCAGTGCTGAAAATGGCAAAACAAGGTGTGGAAATTAGTATTATAATCAGACCAATCCAGATCAAGAAGGCTGAATCAAAGAGGTTTCACAGACAGTCGGGTTTTACTGACATTTAGAGCCATGTATAATAGATGCTTGGCTTGAGAAGGGTTCAGTCCAGGTCTCTGTAAGTGCAGAGATATCGCTAAACCCATATTTTCTTTGCTCCTGGAGAGCAAGATGTTCCTGTGATGTATGTGGTAATGTGTGACCCTCTTGTGACAGTGCTGTCTTAAATATTTGAACACGTTTGAAAAAAAAAAATGTTTCTCCCTAGTATTCCTTTGTCATCCTCTGCTCAAACGTTGTGCCTAGAATCAATCATTGATTCTCAATCATTGTGCCTAGAACGATTGCTCAATCATTGTGCCTAGAAATAATTGTGTAAGTGTAACCACCAAATTAATTTCAAGAGACGCAATAAACAAAATTGTGGAAACACAATAAGAAATATGACCAATTATGCAACAAGTCACTAATAATTTGATGGTCCTGAATAAAATATCACGCAGCACAACATAATTCCCCCTCGAGTGTTACAAAACTAAAACCCATTTCAAGTTATCACACACAGGAGATGCATTGAGCCGCACAGTGTAACCAGACAATCTCACAAAAAAACACGTATGGTGCCACGTTATGCTTGCTTTACTCCATATTTATGTCTCATAGCCTGTTATCTGGGCATTATAATATATACGTGTGTATGCATGTAGGTGTTGAAAAAAAGATGTAATTATGTGTAATATAAATTTTTTCAATTATGTGTAATATTAAATTGCATATATTAAATAATAGTTTAATATTAGAGCGTAGTTCCTCTCGGCCGGGATCAGCTTCCTGCTGATGTAGATGACCGGATGCTCCTCACCCTCCTGGATCTGTGACAGGACGGCTCCCAGTCCTGTGTCGGAGGCATCCGTCTGCAGCAGGAAGGGGCAGCTAAAGTCCGGGGCTCGGAGGACGGGCTCCGAGATGAGGGCCCCCTTCACCCTCTGGAAGGCCTCCTCCACCGCTGGTGTCCACTGTACCTTCTCCGGCTGCCCCTTCCTGGTCAAGTCTGTCAGGGAGGCGGCTAAAGAGGAGAAGTTGGGGATGAAGCAGCGATAATACCCCGCCAACCCTAGAAAGGCTCGTACCTGGGTCTTGGTCCACCTAGGTTTGGCATTCTCAGAGAGGAGTACCTGCCAGTAGCCTTTGGTGAGGTCCAACGTAGAGATATACCGGGCCCTTCCCAGCCGGTCCAACAGTTCATCCACCCGTTAATGGCATGACCCGTTCGATCCTGTCCCTGATCTGTTTTACATGCTCGATGACAGAGCGATGGGCTGCCGGCTGTTGCTCCCAGGCTTCCTTCGCCACATCCAGGAGGCCGCGGGGTTGCCGGCCAAAGAGGAGCTCAAAGGGGGTGAAGCCAGTTGAGGCCTGCGGGACTTCGCGGATCCCGAAAAGGACATAGGGGAGCATCAGGTCCCAGTCGCGTTTATCTATTCCACTGCATGAAAACACCTCTGAACAGATGGACTCTAACTTCACCTTCAAATTAACAGCTAATCTGTGCGTTGCAAAAGCATGTGAAGCTCTAGGATATGTAACACTGGATCTTTTTTCTCAATAAACAAATGACAAAGAAAATATTTTTGGCTCATTTGTCTGATTTGACTCTCTTTGTCTACTTTCAGGACTTAGATCTGATGATGTTTAGGGTCATATTTATGCAGAAATAGTGAAAATTGTAAAAGGTTCAGAAACTTTCAAGCAGCACTGTATATACAGTGCACAGCATAAATGAGTACACCCCCTCTGAATAAATATAAAATATGTATTTTCTTAATGATCGCTAATATAATTAATATAATTCATGGAAAGATGGCACAATTGAAACATATTAAACATATACTTAATAAAAACAACAAAATATATGTCAATATTTTCTGTAAGATAAGTAAATTAGCCAATTCTGTTTAAATGAAGGATTGCAGAAATGAGTACACCGTAGATTTAATTCAGAAAATGTATAATATTCTAGTACTTAGTATGTCCTCCATAACTCTAAGTACACTGCTCTGACACTTCTTGGCACTGAGTGTACAAGTTCATGACACATTTTCACATCTGTGCTGTTTAACTCCTGGAGGATGACCTCCTTAAATGCCCTGATCTTTAATGGGGAGTGTTGCTCAGCTCGTCTCTACAGAATCCCCCACAGCTGCTCAAGAGTGGTTCAATATACTTACCTGTTGATCAAAAATAGCCTTAAACCTATACACATTTTTTTTTTTTTGTAGTTTTATTTAGTAACTTTCAGGAGGGTGGACTCATTTTTGCAACACAACATTTTATCACTTTGATAAGAAAATCTTACTTTGCTGAATAATTTTGGCATTCTTCTTTGGTAATTGATCAAGCAGGCTTGTTGGAACATTACATCTCCAAAGAACCCTAACATGTCTTCAAAGTAAAAAGTAATTGCTGAATTTGTTAAGTTTTAGAGGGGGTGTACTCATTTATGCTGTGCACTGTATATACACACAATTTTATGTAAAGATATTTTAATGTTTGTATCTTGAAAAATCAAGCCTCATGCACTCAATGAGAATACTGCACTAGAAAGCCTGAATGTTGTTTTGCTTTTTACACACGGACTTGCACTCTCATACCTGGACTGCTTTTCTATGCCATTAAAGTGAAATAAATGAACATAAACATATGAGCCTGATAAAAATGCTAATTTTATTTATTAAATAAATAACTTTCCAGCTATAAATTTCAGTGTGTATGATTTGTTTATAAAAAAGTACATACAAATATTTAATGATTTATTTTTTTGTTGTATGTAATGTATACATTCAAATATTTATGCTACAATAAAAAAAACATGCATGCATTAAGTATATTTAATATTTTAATAAAAGTAATTTATGCAAAGTGGTTTTGCGATGTAAATGGACACAAATTAATTAAAATATTTGTGTAGGGCTAAGTGTTTAATTGCTGTGCGTTTTATTAATTGATTTGCATTTATGTGGTTTTATTTATTTATTTAGAGTAATCATAACTGTTCTCTGTTCATCCACCATTAGCAGTTGTGGCAAATAATGAATTTTGAACCTTATTTCGAACCTTTCATACATTGAAAAGTTAGCTAAACTGTGAAGAACTGTTGAATTGTACCTGATCTATCATTCAGTGCTGTGCTTTCCAGCCCACAAAAATATCCAAGCACACCGCAGCCCATGTGATGCATGAAGGCATGGCCACCCCTTCCCCATTCTGATTTATAGATAATGAAAAGTGAGATTTTAGCCACTAAATCAAGGCTGGGGGAGAACTGGCCGTGGAGCAGGAGCAGAATTATTAACAGTGTGAGAGATGCCAGCCAAAGAGCTCATAAACCGTATACTAAGAGCTCATAAATGACCACATATGTATGCAGGAGGCAGATCCATGACCAGGAGTCCCTCTTATTCACAGGTACGAGCTAACAGCTCCGATGGCTTTCTGAACTCATATGACTCGATCCATTAGCGGTGAGGCTTGAGTCCTACTTCAACAGGGTCTGTAAAAGACACGTATATGATAGGACATAATATTGTTATGAATGAACCTGCCTTATCGCCAGGCTGATTTATTTCCGGGAATAATGGAGAACAGATAGGGAATTTTTACATCGTTTCTCTGTGTCACAGCTCCCCCAACTTTCACGGACACACCGCCGCAGTATGTGGAGGCCAAAGAGGGGGGCAGCATCACTCTGAGCTGCACGGCCTTCGGGAATCCCAAACCTTCAGTCAGCTGGCTCAGGGAGGGAGACCCCATACAGGACAGCAGCAAGTATAAGGTGAGCAAACACATCTAAAATTTATGTATATTATTAACTGTGTTTGTTCCCCTGATGTCTACAAAAAAAAATGAATACAGTTTCTTGTACCAAAAACAGCTGTTATTTATTTTTCACCCTCTCTCTGACCCTCTGTTATGATTGGTGGTGTAGATCACGCTGGCCTTCATCGGGGCAGTACATGTTGCTTAATACTAAATATGTCATATGCGGTGTTGCCCTGTTCCCTTAGAATGAATGATTTTAGGCTTGTTTTTTCAGTGAGTTTTAAAGCGCTTATAAGTAAAATGTAAATGTTTTTGTTTTTAAATGAGGTGAAAAAAAGAGGATTATTTCCAGAACGCAGTTGTGAGACATTTAAATTAAATTACATTTATTAATTAACGCAAGACATTTTATCTGTGGCCTTTTTCATCATATATGCTATATGTAATTTATGCTACAATGCTGAATGAAATTAAGAAGTTTTATTTACATACATATTCATTCGACTATTTTTGGTGTGGAAAGCCACTTATTTTGAGCCTGGTTTTTTTTCACTCATTTTTCTAGTGAGATCTGGCAACACTGGTCTCTCTGTTTCTGTCTTCTCTGTGTTTGTGCTCATGGTTACGATGTCATTCTTATAATGGTTTCTGAATGGTCATCTTTTGCAGCTTAGTTTTTTCAAAGTTTGGGGTCAGTAAGATCTTTTCATGTTTTTTTTTTTTTTTTAGATCTCTTATACTCACCAAGGCTGCAGTTATTGGATGAAAAATACTGTAAAAACAGTAATATTATGAAATATTATTGCAACAATTTTAAATAACTGTTTTATTTTTGAATATATTTTGCATATAATTTATTCCTGTGAATTTTTCGGTAGCCACTACTTCAGTCTTCAGTGTCACATGATCCTTCCAAAATTATTCTAATTTGCCGATTTGCTGCTCAAGAAAAAAAAATTAATTATTGTTGAAAAGAGCTTAATATTTTTTTTGTGTAAACTGTGATACATTTTTTTTTTTTGCTGAATCGAAAGTTCAAAAGTACAGCATTTATTTGAAATTGAAATGTTTTGTAACAGTATAAACGTCTATATTGGCACTTTTTAAATTCCTTTTTTTTAATCTTACTGAACCCAGTCTTTTGAACAGTAGTGTAAATTTTAGTTTTCTCCCATTTAACAAATGCAGAAGAAACATATTCAATAAATGAAGATAAGCAGATGTTATAGCTTGTTTGACATGTTTGATTGACATTAGACCATAACCTCAGACTCATTTGACCACATAAATATTTACTCTAATAGTTAATTGTTACAACAAAATACAGTGGCCATCATTAGTGCATTTACTAATGCTATATTTTCCATCAAGCCATCATGAGACATTGTAGCCAATTTAGTACTTTAAGATCATGGTTTCAAGCATTAGCAATGTGCCGGAGCCAAGGCTGGTCTCAAAAAAGCACACTGTCAGTCTGTTACCTAATTGAGAGAACAGGACAGTGAAGTTATACATGACAGACAGAGACTGTGTTCAGAATCCAGAGCTCTGACAGATGAAAAAATGATAGTGTTTGTACTATCGACTAAAACACTGTGCTATTATCAACTCACTTTCTCTCAGCTGGGACAGTTCTGTCTGTCTGTGTGTGTGAATGTGTCTGTTGAAGATAGCAGTGCTTTAGTGGTCCAGCACCCATGAGTGTCAATGTAGTCATTGAGTCATGTCGAACTGTGTTTCAGCTCTCTCTTTCAGTGATGCCATATCGATATATACTAAATATTAGAGATACATAGGTGTTAGAACAGATGTTCATGTGACCATGTGCTATGGGTTTTTGAAGAGTAGTTAATATATAGTGTAAAAGCTTGTAGACAAGTCATTTTTACTTAAATGAGAAATACTTGCCATGGTCTTAAATTAACTTTTTGATATTTGTCTTTGATTTTAACATTTTAAAACAGTTTTGTTTTTGAAAATCACGATATACTAAACTTTAGTATGTGACAGACAGCCCTAGTGTTGTGGATCCTGAAGAGTTCCTGTGGTGTTTTGATTGATCTTCTTCTCTGTACAAATACAGGATTGGAGTTGCCACAGTGAGGGCTCAGGATATTTGATGACAGTGGAAATGACAGGTCAAAGGCACTTTGACTTTGTCTCTTTATTTCTTCCCCTTTTCCTCTGTCCCATTTACCATCATCACGGCCCCAAATCCAACCCTCCATGAGGTTATCAGTGGCCCACCAGCACAATTCAATTGCTGCTTCTGTGTCTAAACTGCAACCATGTGACATGCAGAGAAAGTGTTTAGTTAGGTTTGATTTAATTCACAATTGATTATTAATTTTAATAACCAGATTTAAGCAAAAGAATGCGTGAACAAAGTCATCGCTACTCTCTGACACTGACAGGAGGAAAGATATCTTCTAGCTTATCAGTTCAGTTAATAGCTGAATTATACACTACCGTTTAAAAATTTGAGGTCTGAAAGATTCTGTTTTTAAGATTTTACATTTTTTTATTTTTTTTAATTCGGCAAGGATGCATTATTTTGATAAAAGTGACAAAAAGGTTATATTTCAAATAAATACTGTTCTTTTCAACAGCTTTTTGAACTATTCATCAAAAATCCTGAGAAAAATATATCACCGTTACCACAAAAATGTTTCACAATTGTTTGCAACATTGATAATAATAGGAAATGTTTCTTGAGCAGCAAATGAGTATATTAGACTGATTTCTGAAGGGTCATGTGACACTGAAGACTGGAGTATTGATGCTGAAAATTCAGCTTTGCCATCACAGGAATACACTATATTTTTAAATATATTAAAATAGAAAACAGTTATTAAACTTTTTAATAATATTTCACAAAATGACAGTATTTTTTACAGTATTTAAATAAAAATGCAGTTTTGGTGCGCATAAATGAGACTTTCAAACGCATTACAAAATCTTACCAACCTCAAAGTTTTAAAGTGTAGTGTGCAGTATGTGACATTTTGAACTATTGGGGTCATGAGAGGGTTTGGGGGACTGCCACTAAATTTGCCAGCAAGGATATTTAGACTGTGCCTAATAAGTTTGCCATATTTCCGATGGTTTTCCATAACTTTGTCTAAAAGTGCCTTTAAGCAAAGCAATTTGAGTTTCCCTGCTGTATGTTTTAAACTTCCTCTGTCAAATTGAAGAAATCAAGCAGCAGTTTTAACACGGTAATCACACGGCCTGTAGGAAGAGCTAATTAATCCCCCTCAACCCTGTCATATTCCCTAGTCATTTAGCACTAGCCCTCTGTCCATCTCGGTGCTGTAACTGTGCTCATTTTAACTATGTGTCGTAGAGGCGTCCCTTGGGCCTGGTATGTTCACAGTGCTATGTAATTAGGAACCAAATAAACCATCCTAGTATTTCAATACTAATGGAATTTCTCGACTTGAGTGACATCTTTTATATTTCATTAACTGAGCCGTCTGTGATATAAAACAGACTTTTTTATTCCCTTGTCGAAAACGTCGTCTAAAAACACAAGCTCTTTTCTCACAAGAGATCCATTGATTGTGGCTCATCAAAACCAGCAAGCCAAACATACTGAATCTAACCATCAAACGCTTCCTGCATATAAACCATCTGCTTGCTGAAGACTAAGCACAGGAACGGATGGCTCAGTTCTCGGCCTGAAAAGAGTTTGATTTACAAGAGCCCATCGAGAGATCTCCATCTTCTCACACACAGCAGAGAAATGACAGCCTGTCAGCGACGAGCTTTGTTCAGTGATTGAACACTTTTGAAGTAAGGTGAGATAACATCAGGAGAGGAACAACGGTATTCATTGCTTGTTAATTTGAATGATGGCGAGCTCTTTGTTCAGTCAAAATAGAGCATTGTTTTGACTGATTAGATCTCTAATCTTATTTACAGAGGAAAGAGGACAGCTTCTGGTTACAATTGCTTAACTTTTTTGCTGGATATGTTTGAAGCATAATGATGTGGTAAGTTAGTACAGACTCACCTCTTTTAATAGTCTTTAAAAGAGAGGAATCCCATCCTAAATCAGTGTTTCCACACCTATTTTTATCAAATGTACCTCCATAAAGTACAACAGAGCTGGCCCAATTTTTTTTAGCACACTCGGTTCCAAAAGTATTTTCCCCATTAATTTTTCCTATTGAGAATCTAAAAAAATTATTTTAAGAATCCAAACAAACTAGCGAGGCGAATAGAAAATCAGACAAAAAGACAAAGGTACAAGACTACGCCAATGATGCTCAAGTACCGCTTTGTTGACTACAAAACAGAATAATGTTTCTTAAAGTCATGAATCTCAGTTTACAACCAGTTTTACTTCCATAATGTTCAACAAAGGAACATCAACATTTTTTCAACTCCTTAAAAAGACATTAATTTAGCCAATATCAGGGTTATTTATGAATGGAAGTTGGAATGGAGTCTTTGAATAATGCTAAATAATATGTATCAATCACAGTAATGTTTTTTATTTATTCTGAAGTGGTGTGCTATGATTTATTAGACGTGTGTTGTTGTTGGGTCTACCGTAGCCGTCTGTGTAATTAGTGTAATTACGGAGACTGGGATCCACAGCGGAGTCTCAGACTGCTGCCGTTTGTTGAGTAAATTAGCCGCTGTACTTACTCTCACGCTGCCTACTTGTAGACTGAATGCATGTATGTTCAGTTTGTAAAAGCGACGGAGTGTGTATGTTCATGTCACGTGGTCAAGGTTTGGCTGATTAGCATGGTCCAGTTAACTTCTGCTGGATAAATGTTCTAAAAAAAACTAAAAATTCAAAAAAGCACCTTTCTCCATCGGTGACCAAATGTAGCTGTGTATAGAGATAAAATACATTATTTGTAAGTAGCTTTCACCAGTGTTATTTTAGCATTATTTATATACTATTATAGTATTTATTAATATTTAGAATTAACTTTTATTTTTTATATTTTCAGTTTTCATTTTATTTTTTTTAGTCTAATTTTTGTAATAGTTTTTTTTCTATATATTGTAGCTTAAATTTATTTTTGTTTTAGTTGTAATAATTTTAGTGCTTCAATTTTAAAATTAACTATTTAGTTGCTAAGGCAACATTTCTAATTTTATCTAAGTTTATCTATATATCTTAACCCTTTAACTGTCACCCGTCCCCTCTGTGGGACGCCTAAGTTTATTTCACTATATTACAATTAAATCCTAATCTAATCATGACAAACTATATATCGTTGGAAAGGTCTAAGACTCCTAAATAGATATTTTACCACTGTTTTTTGTGAAAAATTATGTAGGAAAAGTAATAGATTAATTTATGACAAGAGTGCACCTCAAAAATCTACATCAAACAGGAGTTCTGACCTTTGTCAAAAAAAAAGTCGTCTTTGTTGCCTTTTTCTCTATCACACTTTAGAAATCATCAGAAATTATATATCAATTGAAAACTTTAAATCTCAAAATTCATCCTTTGAAACCCATTTTAAAATCAAACATTGCATTACCATGAAAATGGTACATCAATATCATGTTACAAAATGTTTTCTTTCATGAATTATAAAAATTTAAGTCTTTCACGTCTATGTTCAAAAATGTGAGTGACAGTTAAAGGGTTAAGTTTTATCTATATTTCTAAGTTTATCCATCTAATGTCTACTTTTATTTTATTCCAGCTTTATTTCAAATACTGTTTTAGTTAACAATAGCAACACTGGTTCTCACCCAGTGCACATTCTTTTCAAATCAAAAACCAAAGTTTAACATCCAAAATAGAAGAAATATTCGCCTCAAGGTGTGTGTAAGTCTTCTAAGGAGAAAGTCACACATGCTTGATATCACATGAACTGTAATGATGATGCTTGTTAGTAGGTCTTGCTATTACACCGTCTGATGGAACGCTGAATAATTCATCAGAGAGCCCCCTCAGCGAAGGCTTTATTTTACCATCAATCCATGTCATCTGTCTCCACTCTTGCATTTTTTTTCCCTCAAAGTACTCTTCACCTGCTTGACCGGCAACAATAAAGTGACCCTCATGTATCGTTAACCGTCCAGCTCTTACAGGCCGGGGAGAAGAGATGCTCTGTTGAGTCCCTTATCTGTCAGGTCTGTCTACGGAGAGCGGCGGAACTGTTACACTGTTCCAAGACTAGTTGTGCCCAGTCACATATTTCCTATGAGATTATGATTGGCAGCGAATTGCATTAAAAAATGAGTAAAGTTTTTTTTTTTCCCCTCCCTTGCTGATAGTAAATATACCATTCATTTTAAATACATTTTAGTATTTTACTTTTTTTAAAATAAATTTTACTAAGGAAAGAGGAAAATATTTTTGTTCAGTAAAAATTTCACACTTTCTTTTAAAAAAAGTATGGTCTACTAATTAAGGAAGAAATTGTTTTTGTATTTGAGTTCGTTTTTTCTTAGTTTTATGAAAATAATGCTGGACATTACTCATGACAAAAGACAAGAATATGAGAAATTATTCTGAAAAATGAGAATGAACTGTTCTTCTCCTGAGTCCTGAAACAGTTGGCATCCACTTTTGAGGAGGCTTTTTGACCTTCAGACCCTTAAGCCTCTTGACTTGTCCCAATGTTAATGCTAGAAAATATTTTTTTTTATCTATTGTTATTTGGTATTATTGACATATGTGTGGTGTTATCACATGACCTATATTGCACTAACAATTAAAGCTTATTTCAGTGCCCACGCAACTTAAGTGATGTCAGCTGAGAAGAAAATTGTTTCAAAGGTGGAGCAAGTTATTACATTTTGATGAAAAATTTTCTTTCCCTTTGCAATAACATGCACTGATAAATCATGAATAGTAAGGATCAGCATCCCGCCCCTTACCTGCCCCTCTGCCACCAAACACACACTCTTGTACAGAGTAAATCAATTATTCAGCTCACTCTCTGAGAGCATGTGCATGATTCAAGGCCAAAACAAGCAGAAACACTCTCCTCTCATAAGCGCGGCCTTGTCTTGAAAAGATGATTGTGAAACCGAACCAGCAAGCTTGAAAAGAGCTTGAAAAGAGCTTCAGAGTTCATACAGGATCCTATTAATGAATTATGATTTGCATGTTTTATATTATTTCAGAATAAAAACAAGACACAGAGCAGGCTGGCCTGGTATTTTACTAAAAACAAAAACCTGCACAAAAGAAAACATCAGAATAATATATGGGTGGGGATCATTTGTTGCGCAAAAGGCTTAGCTCATGACTAATAGTTTATCCACAAATAACTTTAAATGACTTAAAAATACAATTTTAAATAAATTCATTTTTTGTGTATTATTATTACTACATAAGTAAATAAAGCTAATAAATAAATAACAAATGTAGATGCTTCCTCTGTATTAGATGCCCCCCAGCTATTTAATAAAGTAGTGGGGACAAAATTGGCCATTACTAAAACTGTCCGGGAAATCCCCACTGTAAATGATGCCTTTGGATCCTAATTTCAAAGATGTTGAATAAAAACATAAGGATCTCTCCTACGCAGTCTCTGTCTCTCTGTGTACGGTTCACAGCGATTTCACTGCAAAGCGCTTTTGTTTGTACTGTGTACGAGACAATTTGTTTTGTCAAATTGAGAGTTGTTTTGTAAGCTTGTAAGAGTGGCCCCTGTCATGATACATGTGTTGAATGTAAAGAAACATAGCTGTGGGTATGGCAGTGGGAAAAATGGATGTCTCGTGGGATGCTGAGCATGGTTCCCCCAACACATCATTTCTACTGATCTATGTGTTCATATATAAATAGACTTTAAAAAACCCACCTGAGCAGTTAAATGAGCAAAAAGGAGATTTATATTGACTTATGAGAGAATGTGAAATCATAATTTATATGAATATATTTAAGTTTCAGAGAAACGCACTTTCTTTCTGCAAAAAGTAATTTTCTTAATCAATATTTTTGTCTTGTTTTCCAGTATATGCACTGAATCAAATAAATAAAAAATCCTTAAACCCAAAAATGTAATTTTAAAAGGTGCTGTATGTAATTTTTGGACTGTACCAAAGCATAAAAATACTAAAGCATAAAAATGTTTGCAGACATTTAGGAAACATGCAAAGTTGACACACTTGTATCTCAGAAAAACAATGCTACAGACAGTTATTCTACTTTGAAATGTGCATTCCGTGTTGAAATGTCTGTTTTTGTTTTGGTCTGTGTGATTCCACCCACTGCCAATTTACCCAATAGTATTTTGACACCCCGGGTTGCCAGTTGGTGGAAAACATAGCGTATTGCAACCACGAAAGCCAGCAAACAAATTGGGTCAGAAATTGTGCATTCTACCCAACCTTAAAAGCCTTGGCATCCATCAAAAAGCTCTATGACCAGATGCATAGAAATCAACTCTAAATCAACTTACAGTGTAAGGCTTGTCAACCTCCATTTCCAGTTGCACTCATTCCTGTTGTGTGTCTTCAATCTGGCAACTTGCATGAGCGTTGAGTCTGAGGAGGAACAACGCTCTCCAATATTTTGAATTTGGACTGCAGTACCCATTTTAACCTCTAGCTGTCAATATTGCATACTGCACCTTTAAAGGGATAGTTCCCCCAAAAATGAAAATTACCCCATGATTTACTCACCCTTAAGCCATCCTAGGTGTATATATGACTTTCTTCTTTCAGACGAATACAATCAGAGTTATATTAAAACATGTCCTGGCTCTTCCAAGATTTATAATGGCAGTGAATGGGGGTCGAGAGTTTGAAGCCCAAAAAATTGAGTCCATCCATTATAAAAAGTGCTCCACAATGCTCCAGGGGGTTAATAAAGGCCTTCTGAAGTGAATCAATGTGTTTGTGTAAGAAAAATATTCATATTTAAAACTTTATAAACCGTAATCTCTAGTTTCTTCTAACTGTCGTATGTGTGTTCACTAGAGAGTGGCGTACCAGCATATGATGTAGAGCGTAGGGGTAATTTTCTTTTTTTGGGTGAACGATCCCTTTAAATCGTATTCTCAACAAGACTTGTTTCATAAAATATGAATAATCTATACAAAATAACTAAATTTAGTAAGCTTAACACTAAAAAACAATTTAACAATTATTTAAGAAAAATTATTTAAGATCTACTGTATTCTAGTGTAAATATTTTATGATGAAAAAAATAAGAGCAGTTGCAGAAAATTATGAAAGAGTTTTTAATGTGTGTATATATATATGTACATACATATACAGTATATACACATATACATACATACATACATACATACACAGTGCTGTGTGTGATTGTCGTAGCTTTGTATCTCAGTAGGTGATGCTGTGACCTCTCTCCACAGGTGAGTGATGGCAGCCTGACGATTGTTTCCATCAGCCGTGAGGACAGGGGAGCGTATACATGCCGAGCATACAGCGAGCAGGGAGAGGCCATCCATACTACACGTCTACTCGTCCAAGGTAGCACCAAAACTGCCCTAAACTGTTTCCTCATGACTTTATTGTTTGCTATGAATTGAATGGCATCACTATCATGTTGTCAGAGTGCTGTGCGGTGTGTTTGAACAGTCCTCTGTGTGTTTGTGTCTGTGTATGTATGTACAGTCATGCTTGCAAAGCTGCATGCTGCATGGCACCCATGCTGCAGAGCTACAGAGATAATTGGACTCCATATGTTGGCTGTCTGGTACAGTATAAAGCAGTAATGGGTTCACGGTCAGAGATTTTTTACCATAGTGTTGCCAAAGAAGCTTTTTCCTGTTGGGTTCCCTATCTGTTCTGTCTGCTGCTTTTCGCATGCCATGTTAGCATTTAACCCAGTAACGCAATGGATTTATAACTTTTATTGTCTATTTGTAACGTTTTTTTTTGTTTGTTTTTTTTTTTATAAAAAAAATGGGTGGCAGTGGCCTACTCATAATCATAAATATGATTTACTTTACTTGGTAAGATTTTTATACAAATATAAAAGCTGTCAAAAGATTAAATTTAAATTTCAGTGGCAGATTTCTGCAACCGTGTTCTTTATTCACCTTATTCACACTTCTAGACAACAATAAAGCACTCCTTCCTATTTTTGTCCCATCAAATGCCAATCAAACCAGTATCAAAATCAATGCAGTCATAAAATGGCATTCCATTTTCTCTAAAACTGCTTCTTTTGAATTTCTTTTTTACCCACTGTACTGAATGGTTAATGTGAATCATTGTAATAGTAGCCTTTTAATTCTAATAACTATAATGCTAAATGATATCCTGTATAATAGCACAATAAATACTGTTTTGGTGTTGGTGAAGGGGTGCTTTAGTATTGAAGCCCGTTTCTGCCATAGTTGAGTAAAGAAATCTGATTCTGTAATTCATGATAATGAGAAACTTGTTCACAGTAAAGAGAAACTTTCTTGTTATAATGACTTTGGACCAGACCAAAAATGTTTTCAGGAAATTTCTGTACTGGTCTAGACTACTGTATGAAACATTTGAAGATGTCAAGGGCCAAACAATAAAATAAATACATGAAAATCAGTTGAGAAGTATCAAAAATAAATTAATGCAAAACTGAGTGAAAGAATTGCCATTTTAATAAGACCTTCACTTAACAAAAAGAAGAAAAAAATCTGTTAGTTTAAATCAACTGCTGAGACATAAAAGTGCCAAGTTGCAGAAACATTGTTTTGTAGACATGTTGGCTGTCTAGCGAGTTTGTTTTTGTACTGTAATGTGTGTGTGCTGTTGAGCAGGATGGAGAGCATCTGTAGAGTCCGTGCCTGCACGGGGAGCTCTCTGCAGGCTTTCTCCACAGAAGAGCCCTCTCTTTACTCTGGCACTGCCAACTGAAGCGATGCCCACAGTGGGCGGTAAAGTGAGATCTGTGGGTAGGCCGTTGCAGATTGTCACACTGGGTAGAATTCTTATAATCTTAGCCAATGATATTCAAATGACGGCTGGTCCAAATATGTACGGTACAGCTGAGTGGAACCTACATTATCTCATTGAAATCTCTATTAACTCATTCAGTATAATTCCGTATGATACCATTCGGTATTCAGCATGTACACCACTGTAAATGAGGTATTGATGAATCCAATATTGTATGATTCACTCCACAATCGACTGACATTGTCAAACAGCTGTTGAATACAAATGACAGAACGAAAGTATATATTATTAGAAACATTTATAGGAAATCTTTTCTCCAATACTATTGTTTTTAACCTTGAAGAGGACTTGAAGATTGCTATATGCTCCAATAGGATGTGACACATCCTGATATGTAATGCTGATTTATTATGTGTCTCTTTTCTATTTCAGGACCCCCATTTATTGTTTCACCGCCAGAGAACATAACCGTAAACATATCCCAGGATGCATTCTTCACTTGTCAGGCTGAGGCGTATCCTGGCAACCTAACGTACACCTGGTTCTGGGAGGAAGATAACGTCTTCTTCAAGAAGTAAAGTTATGATCCGGTTCATTACTGTACCATACCCACACTGTCCTGTGTCCATGCGGAGTTTGTCACAGTCCATGTAGTTTCATCATCATCATTGAGGCATCAGTGAGTTTTAGGGACTATGGCCATTGTGATACTGTTTTAGCCTTGTGTTGTGACATTTTCATAGAAAACCTAAATGTTATCATAGGTGCCCAAAATGCTACTAAATATGCCACCACTGATGTACTGTACACTACTGTTCAATAGTTTGGCGTCAGTTAAATTTTTTATTTTTAAAAAATATTTTTATTGATTTTTTTAATAATACAAACAAAAAAGTAAATGCTGTTGTTTTGAAAGAATCCTGAAAAATATTCTATCACAGTTTACACAAAAATGTTAAGCAGCACTGTTTTTAACAGTTTCAACTGTTCAACTATTTTCAGTTCATAGCTCACCATTCTGACCTATTTTTCTCAGAATTCTGAGTTTGCATCTTGTAATTCTGACTTTTTTAAATTCTGAGTTTACATCTTGCAATTCTGTCTTTTTTTTCTCACTGTTGCAAGTTGATCTAATATTTAACAATGCAGACTTTTCTTCTCAGAGCTGTAAGTTTATATCTCAGAGTTTATAAGAGTTTTTTTCTTTTTTTAATTGTAAGTTTACATATCACAATTCAGTTTTTTTGTTTCTGCCACAGAATAAAAAATAATAATAAAAAAGGTAACTGTGAGAATTGTGAGGTATAACCCCAGAACTGCAAGAAAAAACAAACAAACATAATTTTAAGATAATACATCACAATTACGGGTTTTATTTTTATATTCCGTGACGGAAATGGGCTTCCTTAGAAAACAGTTCTTTTAAATTATAAAACCAGGGCTGAATTTATTTGATCAAAAAATCTTCCCGACCCCAAACATTTAAATGGTAGTGTTCATCCATTGATAAACAGATGCGTTTTTTAATTTCAATTTATTTGTAAAGATTTGTCAGTCAAAAAAAAGATTCATTTAGTGCCAAGCTCTGAGCCCACTACAACTGAAATTATAGAAGAAAAAAAACAAAATAGTTTAAACAGAAAAAAAGTGTCACAATGAAAGTTCACTATGACAGTTTGCTACGTGTTTCTCACTTGTGTTTACATTGTGTGCATGTGTCAGTGTCATTACACTTGTTTGGAGGTCTCATACACCTCAGATTGTCTCATTCATGTCTTGCTTTCCCTGTGTGCACCTTTATGAACGTTCTGACGGACTGAAATACTTTGATGCCTTATAAGTGACTAATTGGGAATGTTATACATAGAAAGCTACTCCTCACATGAAGACCAATTGATTTCCTTTGACTTTAGCAATAGCATGTTGCTAAGGTAACACCATGATAGTCTAGTAAACATAGAAACACATAGTACACATAGCGCTTGTGTCATCATATGCTCCGCTAGCACTGATTAGAAGTAGCGGTGCCCTGAGCCATCCAAGACGCCCTCATGCGTGGCCTGTACACTTTATAGAAAAAGGATATTATGGTTTTTCCTTTTTAATAGCGGCTCTGTGCAGCAGGACAGGTGGAAGCACAGGCAAGAATAGAGGCCACGCAAGCATTTTGTCCACTGGAGGGTTTTTTATTTTTTTTGCCTCTGATCTCTGCCCCGGACACTCCATCTGTTCTTGTTGAAAGAGAAGATTGTAATTCATGAAGCTTTGAATTGTGCTTTATTATCTGGTTTTAAATTAATTGACACATGCATACATATTTATAGGGATAGCTTAGAAAAAAAATGTCATTATTTACAAACTTTCATGTCGTTCCAGTAATGGAACATAAAAATACTGTACACTACTGTTCAAAAGTTTGGGGTCGGTAAGATTATTTTTAATGTATTAGCTGTGTCTTAGGCTCACCAAGGTTGTGTTTATTTGGTGTAAAATAACAGTTAATATTGTGAAATATTATTATAATTTTAAATAACTGTTTTCTGTTTTAATTTTTTTCTCCTGTGATGACAAAGCTGAATGTTCAGCAGCCATTACTCAGTGTCACAATATATTTCAGAAATCATTCTAATATGCTGATTTGGTGCTCAAGAAACATTCTCTTATTATCAATATTGAAAACAGTTGTGCTGCTTAATATTTTTCTGGAAACCATGATATTTTTTTTTCAGGATAAATGGAAAGTTCAACAGAACAAAAACAAAATCTTACTGAACCCAAATTTATGAACGGTAGTGTATGTACAATAAGAAATGACAGCTTTGTGGCAATAATGACTTGTAAGCAGTGTAAACTGTGAGAATCATCATTACTATTGATGCTAATTCAACTTTCTCATTTGATTCTTCTTTGTCAATCTTTCTTTCTCTCTCTCCAGTGATCTAAAGCGCAGAGTGAGTATTCTGATCGACGGTTCGCTCATCATCTCCCAGGTGAAACCTGAGGATGCTGGGAAATACACCTGCAGCCCGAGTAACAGCCTTGGGCGCCCACCTTCTGCATCAGCGTACCTGACAGTGCATTGTGAGTCAGTCTGCAGAGCAATCTGCTGATACACAACTAGATCTTAGAAACACTACATCTTTGTCTTTTATCTGAAAACATTTGTCCTTTTCTGGTGCCTCTAAAAATTCTCACTGCATTGCACAGGGCAGATGCTGAACTACAACTGCAGTATGTAGGCGAGAAACCACCAGAATAGAATCGATTTGGGATTTTAACTTTTTGTCAATACATCCTGCCGAACATACAGTGGGTTCAGAAATCCGAAAAAACTTCTGTTTTGTTGAAAGTGATCATCATGTATGTCATCCAGCATGATTTGAGAATGATCCAAAGCATCTTGTGCTTCTAAAACTAAGAACATCTGACGTTTGTACACACTGTCAGTGTCACAAATTTGCATACATTTGATTAGTGACCTGGCAATCGTAATGTCATACATTTTCTTCCAATTTGTTGTAAATAATAAATAATTGCATAAATAAACCAACATATAAATAAATTGTTGAATTAAAGAATAAAGTGATCATTATGTCATACATTTTCCAATTTGTAAATGAATGAATGAAGAAAAAAATAAATAATTGAACAAATTAAATAAGTAAATATTTATTAAAGTAAATAACCAATAAATAAATGAATGAATTATTAAATTAAACAATAAAGTAATGATTATATAAACTTTCTTCCAATTTGTTGTAAAAAACAAACACCAATGCAGATGATTTAAGACTTCCTGATATAGGTGATTTCCTGAATTTATACTAAATGATGATGTCCTGTATTACTTATGATACAATGACAACCTTTCACTGTAACAAATCCTTTTTAGATGAAGCAGTGATTCCCAATTGCCTATTGTATTACGTAATGTCATACATGACATAATAGAGGAGGAATTCTCCTTCATCCTGAATCTGTGACATTGGTCTCACTCTCACTGGATTGAGCATGAAAACAACCTTCATCAGCGCATTATGCCTTTTCATCATGGGCCAAATAAGTTTTACGTTTTCATGTATGCTGAATAACGGTGGTATGTAACAGATTTACTTGCAGAGTGATCTTTTGTAATTGATGAAGGGTTACTTTAGTGTCCTGGCATATTCCGTCTCAATACATGGGTACGAGGGTGTATTAGCTTCAAATGCCTCTGTTGGGCAGGCTGACGCTTTCTATTTGCAACCGAGAGATTGGAATGGCCTTCTGTCCCCGGAGTCTGGAGCAGAATTGAAACAGTGACCTTGAGTGAGTAAGCTAGCAGATCACTAAGTCACGGCTCACGTCCTCCACACCGATAGACTGACGCAAAGAACATGGGTTTCTAGACATTGTTGGAAAAAAGCACCAAAAAAAAAAACCCAAACATGTTGCATTTGCAATAAATAGCAATGGGAATGAACGCTGCAGAAGTGGCTGTGGTATCCAAGGCAACAGACATTTCAGATTCCCTCTCTGGGAGGAAGCCTGTGTCGGACCAGCTTGGCACGGTTGAAGTGGCGGAAAGGGATTACATCATAGCAGAAAGCCCAGACTGCAGGAATTTGCACCTGTCCTCCTTCAACAGTCTCATCCGCTGGCACATAGCCTGACCGCCCATGTGTGTAGCGAGCAGAGGCGGAGAGAAAGTGTATTTGACAGTGAGTGAGAAAAAAGGAGGGGGAATATAAAGGGATGACATCATCCTGTGTGGAAACCCTCTTCTCTGCAGTGACGTCACCTGCAGACTCTCCAGCAGACTGTTAGCGTGGGCGATGGTGGCCCCGTTGGACGTCTGGCGGCATTGCAGGTCTGCTCCATGCACTGAGATTGCCTACATTTTTTTTCTTTCCTCCTCCTCTTCCTTTTCTTTTCCTTAGCATTCCTGTCCTTCATCCTCACGACTCCCTTTTCTTCTGTTCTTTTCTCAACTCTACACTTATTTCTGGTCCACTCCTCCCATCATCCCATCCCTCAGCTCCACACAGGGTCTAAAAATAGACCCTGGCACTTTGCTAAGCGTTAAGATGGAGCAGTGGATTTCTTCAAAGTGTTCGTTTTGGAGCGCCGCTCCCTTTCGTTCTTCAGCATGCTGCTGTTGGATGGTGTCTTCATTAATTAGAGACTGTGATTTATGAGTCACATGCAACTGACTCTCTTTACAGTATTAATGATACTCTTTGCTTTAGATGTTGTTTATACAATATAAAGAAGGGAAAAGTTATCAGAAATAATGCTGTTGTTCATGCTTTGTTGCTCAAATGAATTAATAGTGGCTTTTCACAGTATTGGTTGTTTTTTTCCTTCATTGCCTGTGATATCGCACAATTCTGTACATGCAGTTGATTGACCAAATAATGTGTTTGTTATTTATGGTGTGTTTATTTGTTATATTTATGTATACATTTTTCATTCAAAGGTTTGGGGTTGGTTATGAGCTTATGCTCACCAAGACTGCATTTATTTGATCAAAAGTACAGTTAAAAGTAATATTATGAAATATTATTAACAAATAAAATAACTCTATAACTATCCATTTTCATGTATTTTAAAATTAAATGTATTCCTGTGATGGTAAAGCTGAATTTTCTTATGATCGTTCAGAAAACATTGTATTATGCTGATTTGGGGATCAAGAAACAATTGTGCTGCTTAATATTTTTGTGGAAACTGTGATACTTTAAAAAAAAAATCTTTAAATTCAAAAGAACAGCATTTATTTTTAATAGTTTTTTAAAATAACATAATAAATGTCCGAATGTCTGAAAGAACTGTCAGTTTTGATTAGTTCAATGCATCCTTGTTGAATAATTGTTTTTTTAAAAAAAATCTTACTGACCTTAAACTTTTAAATGACGAGTCAACTTAAGACTCCAGTTCTACAGTAAAATAAATATTGTAGTTACAAAATATTTGCAGTTATCTCTAAAACTTGAAATTGTTTTATATCATTAGACATGCCATTATTGTGCCTTGGAAGCCAATCCAGTTTCCTTAGGAAATGCTTTCTTACACTAAACACTGCCTGTTTAGTCAACTGAAAAGGTAAACCATATTTAGTGACAAAAATGTCATAGGGATTTGGGATCTTTTTTTGTGGCTCTCTCAATTAAAATCAGCCCACAACACCCTACCATCATCTTTTCAGTTGCCTACATTGTGGAGAGTTTTGCATGGGCAAACACAACATTTTCTGTAAAAAATATTAAAATTGTGTTTTTATTTCAGTTATGTAACTTGTAGCTATTTCCCCCTCTGTTTTCAAGGAGCTAACTGTGCTGTCCTACGATTAGCTGAATAACAGTCTCAGTGTGAGCTAGTTCAGACCTTTTTGTCACATTTCACACTCTCATTTCAGGCATGTGAGAGCGAAAAGTTCTTTATTAGTGTACTTCTCCATCAGTACTTGATTTATTCAGAGGATTTGTGCTAAATGTTCCAGACTAATGGCTCAGAGAGACATCCAGTACAAACTCCTCTCATCTGTCTGACAGTTTAACAATGGACTAACCTAAATGTCTAATTTTATAACAACTCTTTATAAAAGCGCTTATGCTGTTTTAAATGTTTTTACCTCTCGTTATATCCCGTAGACCCTGCCCGTGTTGTAAACATGCCGCCCGTTATTTACGTGGCTATAGGACTGCCGGGGTACATCCGCTGCCCGGTGGATGCCAACCCGCCTGTCACTTCAGTGAAGTGGAAAAAGGACAGCCTGCCTCTGCGGATAGAGAAGGTGAGTCCAGCTGGACAATGATCTCAGTGTTTTCACAGATGCTGTCACAAGGGCCTCGGCGATCTCTCTCTCTCTCTCTCTCTCTCTCTCTCTCTCTCAGCTTTGTGAGATGGGTTTCATTCACAGTTCACATTGATTTCATAGCCTCACACAGACAAAGATCACTGGCTCCTCTTCAACTATAAAGCCAAATGGAGAATGACTGTAAGTACAGTACAGTACTGACAGTACAGTTGGCTTTTAAGGATAGTGGCCATGTAGATGAAAATGTGCAGGCTTATCATGTTACATCTAAAGTGCTCTGAGAGCAAATCCACTCCATTCATTTCACTGAATGCAATAGTTGTATGGCTTGTCAGGGGTATAGGAACCATTATAACAAGAGTGTTTTAATAAATTCAAAGCTTTTTAGATTTGGAAAATAATCATAAGATTTTAAAGGGGACATCAGATGCCCATTTTCCACAAGTTGGTATGATTCTTTAGGGTCTTCATGAAATGTCTGCAGCATTCTTTGGTTAAAATTCCTGAATGGTCATGTAAAATGGCTCAATGGTCTTTTTACCTTGTCAAAAACAGCTCTGTTCACAGCGACCCGTTTCGGTGCATGGCTCTTTAAATGCTGATGTGCTCTGCTTACCCCGCCCCTCTCTTCCATGGAAGAGGAAAGGTGATTTGCAAATAAAAAAGGGTGTTGTTTTACACGACCATTGGGAAATTTTAATCAAAGTATGTTGCAGACATTTCATGAAGACCCTAAAGAATCATACCAACTTGTGAAAAATGGGCATCCGATGTCCCTTTTAATGATTCAAGGTGATAAGGTGTATAAAATGGCCCCTTCACTTTTTTTAGTTCATTTTTACGTAAGTGATTTTATTCAGTGTCTCTATTAGCCTCAAACTGATTGCATATGATTCTCAGAGAGGCCTAATTTTTCATACTGTGATTATACTGAGTGTGAAATTTGCGCTTTATATAATTTCTTACATAGTGCAATTTTAACATTGTATATTTTTTAATGCATCCAGTATGCTTTTATACAAAGCAATTTACAAATGTAAAATACACTACCGTTCAAAAGTTTGGGGTCAGAAAGATTTTTTGTTGTTGTTGTTGAAAGGAAGTAATACTTTAGTTCAGCAAGGTCCCAACCAGTTGGTCAAACGTGATTGTAAAAAAACATTTATAATGTTAAGAATTCTATTTTAAATAAATGCTGTTCATTTTAACTTTTTCATTATCAAAAAATCCTGAAAAAAATATTCATGTATCAGTTTTATTAAGCAGTACAACTGTTTTCGACATTGCTAATAATTAAAAATGTTTCTTGAGCAGCAATTCAGCACATCAGAATGATTTACTGTATGAAGAAACGTGGCTGAAATATATTAAAATAGAAAAGTAATTTTCAATTATAATAGTATTTTTAAATATTACTGTTTTTCAAATAAATGTAGCCTTTGTGGGCATAAGAGTTATTTAAAAAAACACACAAATATCTTACACACCAACGTTGTGAATCAAACGTTGTCATGCTCTGTTGTTTGAGATACAGGAAACGATTTCCCTGATTGTATGTGTGCTGATGTTTCTCTCTGTTGCAGTACCCTGGCTGGAGCCAAATGGAAGATGGGAGCATTCGAGTGTCCCCTCCTGCTCCTCTGGTGCTAAAGGTAAAGACAGTGAGTGTTTACTTTTTTTATTATATCATGTATTTGCATCAGTATAATGTGTTGTTTGGCAATGGACAGGACCCACCCAAATTTCTGGTGGTTCCTGGGGGGGAGTACAGGCAGGAGGCTGGTCGAGAGCTGGTCATCCCCTGTGAGGCAGAAGGAGACCCATTCCCCAACATTACATGGAGAAAGGTAAGCCGTATCCTTAAGGATCCTTAAGTAGGATCCTGTATTATTGTCAACCCAACTGAAGCGTTTGCTAGAACTGTTTTCTTTTATTGGAGAAGGTAGGGAAGCCCAGCAGAAGCAAGCACAACGTCCTACCACGAGGCAGCTTACAGTTCAAATCTCTCAGCAAGGAGGACCATGGGGAGTGGGAGTGTGTCGCCTCCAATGTCGCCACGAGCATCACTGCCAGCACGCACCTCCTAGTAATCGGTATGAGGCGTTGAGACAAATAGCGCAACCCCATGATGCACAAACACGACTTGCGATAAAGTGATTTTTCCATACAGTGATGAATTTTGATCATATTAGATCAAAGAGTGTTAAAGGTGTTATTTTCATTAAAAGTGCACAAAGATTTTAGTTTATATTTTGCAGGACAACAGTCGTCTTTTACTCTGGGTTCCCACAGTCATGGAAAATCTAACATATTAGGGAATTTTTAAAAAGTTATGGAAATTTCTATATTGAATATATATTTTTCTACTTCTCTGATGTAAAATACTTTTTGGCTAATTATTATTTATGTGCTTCAGTGTTATTTTAGTATATTAGTATATATTTTTAGTTATTTTTTTATACTATTATTAATTTTTTGAATTACCTGTTATTTTTATATTTTCAGCTCATATTAATTTTAGCATACGTCATTTTGTTATGTACTTTTGGAATTTTTACAAAAAAAGTAGTTTTTTTATATTTCTATTTACATTATTATTATTTATTTATTTTTTTTACTTTTTATTTTCAGTTAGTTGCCAAGGCAGCATTTCTAATTTTCATTTTTTTGAGATGTAGTTTTTCATGTAGTATTTTATAAATACTAAGATTTTATTTTATTTCAGCTTTATTTCAGTTATTATAATTTTATTTATTTATTTATTTTAATAGTTTTAGTTTTAGCAGTAACTGCTGTTCACTAAAACTTCGTTGAACAAATGATTCTTTCAAGGACTTTTGTTTCAGTGAGTTGGTCTAACAGGTCCACAAATCAGTCTAAATGACTCCGTTTCAAATTGTCTAAATAAAAAAAAAATCCTTATCCAGTTACAGTATATCAAAAATTGTGAAAAAAAAATAAGCAGGTTTTCTGAGAAAGTTAGTTGTCATCTCCCTAATCACCTTCATTATATTAAAGGGTTAGTTGACCCAAAAATTAAAATTAGCCTGTGTTTTACTCACCCTCAAAGCATCCTAGGTGTATGTGACTTTCTTCTTTCAGACGAATCCAATCTGAGTTATATTAAAAATTGACCTGGCCCCTCCAAGCCTTTCAATGGGGGTAAGCGGGTGTTGGTTGTCAACAGTTCAGAAGACATGAAATAAAGTGCGTGCATCCGTAATAAAACGTCCCTCACATGGCTCCGGGGGGTGAATAAAGGCCTCCTGTAGCGAATCCATGCGTTTTTGTAAGATAAATATCCATATTTAAAATGTAATAAACACTTTTTTTTCTCACTTCCGCTTCACATTAATAGCACATACTTGTCAAAAGTATCAATTTTTGTGTAAAGATTACTTGCTATTGCTATTTAGCTACTGCAGTATCTTACGTTGAAGTATATGCACATGCAGACTTAAACTCTAATCTTATAGGATATAGCTTATAAATTCAATAGAGGAAAGTAGTGCAAATGCTAACGTCCTCATGATCTCTTTCTATTAGTGGCTAGTGCAGCTGTAGACCAACACTGCCAGCTCAGTCCTTATATTGCTGCCCACTGTTTTGGCATGTCCAGTGTGCTATTGGGCGTGTTTGGATTTATGTGGCTGCAGTGAAACTGTCCGTTAAAGAAACTTTTTTGGGTCGCTGGTTAGCAGCTAAGCAGCAGCTGCTAGGTTAAACTGTTAGCTATCTGAGTTCCTCTCAAAAAGCTCTCTGTACAAAAGTCCTTCGGTAAGTCGGGAAACACAGAGTCTGTTTGTGTTAGCGCAAGTGTTTGTGTTAAGACAAGTGAGCGAGGGCTTTTTTCAGACAACGTTTTATGGAAATAAAATATGTGGCCTTGCTTTAGCTTTTGTGTACAAGTGTGTGTTTATATCGAGTGTGACACGAGTTGTCCTCCTCCCACAGGCACAAGCCCACACGCTCCCGCCAAAGTCCACGTTTCGGTCTCGACGACCTTGGCCAACGTCTCGTGGGAACCCGGTTACGACGGCGGCTTTGAGCAGACATTCTCAGTCTGGTACGGCCATGTGTGAGTCATCCCAGCATGCTTTGCTTTCTGCTTCTTTTCCTAACTATTGACTTGAGCTCTGCTGCTGCTGTGAGGCTGCTACATCTGGGGGCAATGGGGCAAAACCTTTCCCCCTATGGGTGAGATGACCAGCAGGGCCCTCCGATCTTGAGTCGGACACACTGTTAATATTAATGTCAGTGCAGCTAAAATGTTAAGAGTTTTAATTATGGGTATAATATCATGGTCAGGACTCTTTATATGGCATATAATACATTTTTAGTTGTATGTAAAGTTCTTCAAACTCTTGTTCATAACTTCCAAATAACTTCATACTGGAAGTCTTGAACAGAGATAATCATTCCATGAGTAGTCTAGATTCACTGTTTTCTTTATTGAGTTTTTTTGTTCTACAAGCAGTTAGCTAGCATGTTGGACGTGTTAATGAGGCTCATAACGATAGAATTGGAATGGCATGATCAGGCAGTAAAATCTCTCCACAGAGTCGTTCTGAGTCGAGCTGCATGCAAAGTACCTTATTAAGTTGACAAGACAATTTTGGTGTTGTGTGCAGTTCGACTGCTTTTTAAACACTTCAGCACACTAAAAATAATGACATATTTATGTGATTTAGAAGGAACAGTCTGCTGCTGAGTCTGGCGTGCCATCGGTTGTAACATTTGTTATGGAAAACACATTTAGGTTAGGGTAAGGTGTTTTTTTTAATTATAGTTTTAATGTCAAGAACTCCTTTCCTAAAACATAAAGGCAGCTCTATATTTTTATGTATGCAGAACCATTCATACTGTGAGAAAAAATTATAGTATTGTTCACCCAAAAATGAAAGTTGTCATCATTTAATTTAATTTTATTGTTTATATATTACTATATAGTTTACATTCGAATTTTAGTTTAAGTCCTAGTAATTGTTATGTGCTTTTGTCACTTTTGTTTTGTCACTTTTTTAAATATTCTATTAAGCTTTAATTTATTTTAAATTTTAAATTTATTTTAAGTTTTAGTATTTCAACTTATTTCAGTTAGTTGCCACGGGAACATTCTTCTGCCAAGAAGTTCTTTTTCAAAAGAAATGTAAGTTTTTGTGCATATAATAGAGCAACATGAGTGTAAGTAAACGATGACAAAATTTTCATTTTTAGGTGACCGACTTTTTTTTTAGGTGACCCTGTAGAGCATATAAAGACAATATAAATGTCTGGGTAATATTTATTTTGAATGAAGTTAACAGTATATCTTTGTTTCAACCCAAGTTTCCAAAACTTTTTGTTCCAAAACTTTTTTTTATTGGTAAAATAAAATAATCTCATGATTTCTGACCAGTCAAGCGGAATGAAACTGTAATTTTAGGGATGCACGATATTGGATTTTTGCCGATATCCGATATGCCAGTATTTTTCAACACATAGCAGATGCCGATACCGATATATTTCCTTTTGTTTGGAAATAAAACCAAGTCTCTCCTGTGCAGAAATGATAAGCAAATTAATTTAAATTTTGGTTCGTTTTTAACAAGAATTTATTTGTTAGAATTAAATAAACAATAATGAAGTTCGTTTATAATGTCAGTACACTGAATATTTGAAAATAACTATAAATAAACTATATTCAAATGCTGCATTTTTTTTTCAGAAAGATGCAGTGGTAACCTTAACATTTTATTTTAAGATCTAAGATTTGTAAATGGTCTAAAGCAAAAATCTTTTAGAGCTCATAATTTTTTTTAAAAATACAACATATACAACATATTACACATTAATGAATAAATCCGTATATATAAAATTATTTAATTTAAGTGTCATGTTTGTGATTTTTTTTTTCATGTAAGCTATACCTTCAAAACATACTCATGATTTTATGGCATCAATTACTGCTTTATAAACACTGCCGCTGCTGCCACTGCCCCTGCTATTACTGTTTACTCTATCATACACCGAACGCGTACGTGCTTTCTCAGTTTAAATGCAGCGATCTAAAACAGTGAATCTAATCATCATTCAGGCAAAACTGCTTCAAGAATGAGCCACACTGCTGACATGATTTAATCGCACTGTTGACGTGATCTAATCGCTAGCACACCCTGAGCACATGTGAGTTAATGTATTCCTCTTATCAGAAAGACATATCGGCATAGTTTTTCATATCCGATATTGGTCCGATAATATCATGCATCCCTAAGTAATTTTATTAAATTTGCTAAATATTTCCATTTACATTTAACAGACTCTTTTATCCAAACAGACTTACAAATATTTTAAACAAAATAATTATCACTAATTTGGGCATGTTATTGTGTATGATTTTTGTCACTTGGTCATAATTTGGATTAATTGCAGGAAGCAACATACTGTAAATGTTAATCATAATATAGAAAAAATCAAATGACATTTTCTAAACAATGTTAAGTACAGTAGAACTTCTCAGATGTGAACCTCCAGTTTGTACATACAGTACATTATGAAGGCCTTAAAGAGATTCTGATGATTCTTATGCATGAAAAGTAAATATTGATGTAAAGACTTTGTCTTGTGCCTTCTCGCAGTTCAGTGATATTTTGCAGTTTTGATATTTTAACCATACCACCAGAGAACCAACTATATTGCAAGTAAGTATTTACTGTATCATAATTTTAAAAATTTTCATTACTTGCGTTGGTAAGGTGACATCCAGGGTTTAAAGAGGTGCCACTGAGGTGCTTTTGTTAATGACTTGATCCATAATGGCAAACTCTTGCTTCTGGCTTAATCAGCAGCACGTTCGTCTCCTTATTCAGTCGTCTCCTCCGCCTCTCTTCATTTCTCTGCCGCCCATGCCAGTGCTTCTGCATCCCTGTGATTCTGCTCCCTGTGTGGCGCTGTCCTCTTCGATATTCACCCGGAATATCAGCAGCATTCTATAGCTCTCTGTGCTCCTGCCCCTATAGAATGTCACATGCTTCTCAATAACCTTTGTTTGTTTGCTTCGGTGGGTACAAGCAAGAACATCTCAATCATTTGACTTTAAATCTCCTTCAAACGGTGTCTTAGTTAGCCATATTTGGTACTTACTCATTTTAGAACATATTTCTGCAGTCACACCAGGTGTCAGATGGCAGCAGTGTTTCATGGGAATGTAGCATGAACAGGTTTAGCCCGTTGCAAGCCCTGGAGACAGATTTCACTCCTTTTTGAGCTATAAATTGTCATGAAATTTAGTTTGAGAGTTTAGAGACACTCATGACTGTTATATGGAGGAAAAATGGATTATATGGCCTGGTAAGAGAAGTGTGTGTATATATAGGCCTATATACTATGTATTTTCAGCACTGCTCTCGTTGTGTTCTGTCTTCCATTTCCACAGCATGAAGGTAAGATATTACGAATTTATGAATGAACTGGTCGTTTTAAAATCGTCCTGGTCTACTGACATTTGTTTTGACATCCGCTTCAAACGTTACAATGCTTATGATACCTTTCATTAACTCTACAGTAAGTAAATCCACTTCAGCAGCTAATTACTCTTCAACAGCGATCCTATAGAAATATACAAAGCTATTGCAAAAACGGAAGTTGAAGCACAAAGTTCTAAAGATGGCTGCACATTTGTTTCTCTGATGCTTAAGGTCTATATATTTATACACTATGCTTCAAAAGTTTGGGGGTCGGTACGTTTTTTTTTAAGAAGTCTCTTATATGCTCACCAAGAATGCATTTGTTTAATTAAATATACAGTATAACAGTAACAACAAATTTTGAAATATTATTACAATTTAAAATAACTGTACTAAAATATTTTATATTTGAATATATTTTAAAATGTAATTTATTCCTGCCATGGCAAAGCTGAATTTTCAGCATCTGTTACTCTACGTCTTCAGTGTCACGTGATCCTTCAGAAATCATTCTAATATGCCGAGTTTGTACTTAAGAAACATTTGTTATACTTATCAATGTTGAAAACAGTTGTGCTGCTTAATATTTTTGTGGAAACCGGATACATTTTTTTCAGGATTCTTTGATGAATGGAAAGTTGAAAAGAGCAGCTTTTATTTGAAATAGGAATATTTTGTAACAATGTAAGTCTTTACTCTCATGTTTAATGCATACTTGCTGAATAAAAAAAAAAGCTTACCGACCCCAAACCTTTGAACAGTAGAGTTTATATGTATGTATGTTAAGTCAGCAATATGCAGCTACATTGCGGCTACATGCAAGGTACCCAATTTATGATTTTCTGCTTGAATCTGATTTATTATTAAAGTCTTAGTTTTAGTTCTGTATATACAAGCGCTAGTAGTTATTTTTTTATTTATTTTTTTGCAATAGACATTGCAACTTGCAACTCTAACTGAAAGAATCATGGCATATATTAATATATGCATATATATTTGTGTTGTTGTTTTACATCTACTTCATGCTAAGGATGAATAACATGCAATTATTAAAAAATATATATGTTGCTTTAGATTGAAAAAACTGACGTGAATTCTCACCCGAAAGTTCAGAGTCTGTACTGAGTACTAACATGAATCCTTCCACTAACGCCACAATCCACACATGCAAAAGCTACAGAAAAATAGGAGGATGAAAGCATGTTAATCCTCACCCAAGGGCCAGACTTTCCTCACCGTTATGCTTCCGACTTCTTAAATCATCATTTTCCTCTGGTCTGATGTGTCCGTGTGATCGGAGGCCTGTGCCAAGAGCTGACTAAAGGTGTCATTTGAAGCATTGGGCAGTGTGACTCATGCTTTAAAGGTTGTGTGTGAATGGCCTTTAAATGTGACCCACGTGAGATTAAACAACAGCTTCCATCAGCCTCGTTGACGCAGATAGTTGGCATGTTCCTGCTACTTCCTGTGCATTGCAGGAGAGGTGCTGAGCGACCGCTGAGATGCTGTGAATAACACACATCTCAAGAGCCTGTGTCATGCTATAAGGGCATGAAGGAAGTGATCAATTATACCTCAGTGGAATATTATGACTCACCAATAGGAATGGGGTGAATGACGTATACACCCAATTCCTTACTGTTTTCTTTTTGAAAGTCATTAATATTCCTAACACAGTGAAATTTCAACATCTTGAATGATGCCTTGTGTTTAGCACAGCAATCTGTGAGAGAAATGACATTTTGAACTTTCTTGGCTGGCTTCTTGCTTCTTGCATTAGAATGATATAATCATATATGTTATTACATAAAATATTGAAATATTTATTATGTGAAAATGAATTCTATATAATTCATATTATATAATTATTATATATATATATATATATATATATATATATACAGTGGTGTGAAAAAGTGTTG